TACCTTATTATATATTCCGTAAAGTGAAAATCAATTAGAGAAACAAAGAACAATTGCATGAACTAATTAATCATTAACATTTTCACAACAATAGCAATAAATCAAAACACAGTTAACCACAACAAATAATCAATAATATAAAGGCAAAATATAAAGCTAACATTAAGGCAACATGCAACTTCGTATGAATGATAGACAAGCCTCAAGAAATACACAACTACCAATGGGTGAGTTTCGGAAACAAATAATGATAGCAGCTGCTGAAAGAAATATGCACTGCATAACCGTACCAAAAATATGCACTGCATAACCGCACACATACTTGCCACGATGAACACATCCAGGGGCCGGTTGTTCAAAGCTGGGTTAGCCTAACCCTAGATTAACCTAAGATTTGAAGCAAACTTCCTGACAGCTTGTCTATAAATTTGGAGATATTTCTTCAGAGATCTTGTCTTGATCGATAGTTTACTTCTCTGAAGTTTTGAAATACACAGATGTGTAGAAATACACAAACTACACCAGCGTGTTAAATTTTAACATAGGATAAGCGTTAACCCACCTTTGAACAACCGGCCCCAGGGCTAAAACATATTAAATAGCATTTTTGCTGTTGTCTGAACCGACAAACATTAAATCTATATTTGTTAGAACACAACTTCTGACTATATACGCCTTTATATCATTGATTATTTCTTGTGGTTAAATGTGTTTTGATTTATTGCTATTGTTGTTGTGAAAATGTTAATCATTAATTAGTTCATGCAATTGTTCTTTGTTTCTTCTAATTGATTTTCACTTTACGGAATATAAAGGTGTTGTTATAGAACCTACTTAGTAGCACAAATGATGTTCAAATCACGCTATTGTCCTTGTTTCAGTGTTATTGATATACCAATCATTCTACTGTGCTTCTCTTTTGCCTAAATGACATGCAAATGCTGTATTAGAATATTCCATAGCATTTATTTTAGTTATTTTTTTATTCATAATGCCAGTAAATTAATACAGGTAGCTCATTAGCACTACTTACAAATATATGAATGTCGCTTTGGGCAGTACATCAGCAAATGATTATGAAACGACTCAAGGAAGCCTGTGTGTCTACAAATATAAAATATGTGATAACTATTATCATAATGTGAGTTTAGAGTATTATTATATTTATTTAAAAAGTGCCTTTTTCAATGTGATTTTTGCCATCTGATGGATGTGAACGAATGGATGAGATTATAACTGTTCAGATGAGGGTACATATACCCAGAACATACATAACTCTTCTATTCATTCAAAAGCGATAATTTAAGACAAAAAGCGCACTAGAAATTGAGCAAAAATTTTGACAGCAAAATACATAATATGGTTCATGATCACTGGATTCACTTAGTCCAACAAAAAATTGCAATTATTGGCTAACCTGAAATTAGTATAGTAAGGAAATGTATTCAGCAGTCTCTTGCTTAAAACAATCTTTTGCAATGCCTTGTGTGCCTTGCTGTTCTTCTTCAACCATGGTTTTACTCTATCCTCTTCACTGAGTGGATCATGACCACATTTAATAGAAGACTAATATACTAATATTATTTGACTATTCAAGACTATTATACTAATATTAATTGCTTTGAACAAAGGTGATTCCCCTTTGTGGCATAAAATTTAACCCGGGCATTTTTCCTCAGGGGCAGATCTAGGGTAAGTCCAATCAGTTGTGTGACTGACATATTTCTTGCACAGAAATAATTAATCTATTATTTTGCAATTTGAATAATTAATTCCCGAATATTATATGAAATTCATATCATAGTCCAGTATACGTCTTTACGCGCTCAGTTTTGAATAAATATATGCTTTATCTAGAGCAGCGGTAAAACACAAGAATCCCGCAGAATCGGGTGGTCGTTATGCTCATTTGATTGGCCGAGAGGTCATTTGGACTTATCTCGACTGATCTGTGGGGTGGCCGGACAGACTGATTTACACTTTAAGGGAGTCTTTTTCAGTCCATTTCTTTCCTTTGATTGGTCAAATTGAAAATATTGTGGGGTGGTTGGACTGATTTGCACTTTAAGGGAGTCTTTATGGGGCGGTCGGACTGATATTTGCAATTTAAGGGAGTCTTCATCAGTCCATTTCTTTCATGTTTATTGGTCAACTTGAAAATATTGACAATTCCTATAGGTTCATTTTTTACTGATTTGCGGCAGGGGGCATCAGTCGGGAAAATTACAAAATTCATAAAAAGCAGTCTTACTACTTGTAATCTTGTGTATTATACTGTAAATTTATATACCAAGGTTTGAACAGTTGGGAAATTGTTTTACAATGTCGAGTATTGATATGTACGCAGACGTTCGAAATGCGATTTCAGGAGATGATTTGACGGCCTTAAACAGGCTTCAATTGTCTTTGAATGAGGATTATTGTCGGGCAGCGAAAATATCAAGCGAGCAGCTTTTATCTTTTGCTATTCAACAACGAGAAGGCACTAAGTAGTAGAGACTTCTCTGCTGAAATCTACGTGCCTGACAAGGATCGTGGTGGTAAAGCCAAAGAGAAAGTGTGCACTGCTATAAGGGTATGAACTATGAAAATATCCAAAATAAATAGAAATTAATATACTGCAATATATTTTTAGAATTACCGTGTGATCAACTTGAATGTCGTGAGGTTCTGTTTATAGTTTTTAATACAGATATTTCGAAGAATAGTCCTTTGTCCAGCTGTGGTTAACGGGATAAAAATTGATGAAATGTTCGCTGATTGCGGTAGTCCTCCACTGGTACAAATTCACTCTAGTTGTGTTTTTAAGGTGAGATGATTTTTATATAAAAATAGAAATATAAAAATGCTCCTATACTGTATAAATACAGCAGTATTAAATGTATTTTTATTTTGTATCATGTAGTTCTTCGACCCTAATGATCTACAGGAAGGAGGTATAAACAAAGAATATAGCAATGTTATGTTGTGGGAGTTTGACATTTCAACATCACCAACATCCCAGGCAATCCCACCATGTGACCCAGATAGTCAAGATGATGAGCTGGATAGTGTACTTCCACCAATAGAATTACATCCGCCAACTGATTGTATAACTGTTTTAATTTACCAATAAACCCTGTTTGCAACCAACACACCATAGTTAATAGAGAAGATGGTTTGGAAACTCATTAGCATTACAATAAACCTCGCTATCTATGTTTTTGTTCAGGTTTATGCAAAAATGTGGTCTTTCATCGTCACATGCGTATTGTATTTTTGCTCAACCAGCCAATAGCAACGGTTTTGTCCTATTGCCCATCCATGACTTTAACAATAGGACATTTTGAACATTCCTATTGGTTGACTTGAGAAAAATACAATACGCACGTGACGATGAAAGACCACATTTTTGCATAAACCTGAACAACATAGATAATGAGGTTTAATGTCATTTTATTGTAATGTTAAAGGACATTGGCAACAAAAATTTTTATTGCTTATATCTATTAAACCTACCTACGGAATACTTAATTTTGTATTTTCACTTGTCCATCGCGTTTAGTTGTTGAGAAATGTTGAGATAAAGTTGAAGCCTGTTCGAGCTTCGTCCACCATCTTGAAAATAAATGCGTATGCTAATTTATGCTTGAATAAATTACTGATGTCATTGGCTGGGTTAAGACGAAATGACAATATAAAATAGTATTGTTTTTGTACAACGTCGTTGGCTTTTAGGTCAAAAATAAAAGGTGTCTGGCAAATCCAATAAATAATTGTACAATAATTAAGTATCAGTGTTCTGCGGATATGTTTACGACAATTGTTTACAATAAAAGCGTATATTTGAGGCTTTTGAGCTGCTGTTTAATGCGCTTCGATTTTGGCATCATTGACCCCATACTATGATGTCCAGCAAATGTATGTCACATATTGTACAGCAGAAATACTTAAGGTTTTAAGATTTTGAAAGTATTTCTATGCAAAAAAGCAAATACAAGCTAATAGGCGACCATATGGAACATTTAATATAGTTATACTTTGATTTGTGCCGAGATTACTATTAATTGCGAGTATACGGAAAGTCAAATCAGATGTCTTCACTGAAACACTAGTGATAAATGATGCAGTCGGGCCAGTCGGCAAGATAGAAACATTAGCAGGGCTGAATAGAAGTATATTTTATGGCAGCATATTTCTGAATTATATCTTCATTCATAGAAAGTCACAATTATCTCCGCACAGGCGGTGACAGGTTGTAAAACAGCATTATTTGCGAAATACAAAGGTAACAAAGCACATATTGTTGTAAATTAGTAGCTTAGCCTTAGATTCAGTATAGAATATATTTTGTAAAAATATATGATAGTAAAAATTTATATAGTCTATATATGCATGCCAATGTTAATATGTCAAAAAATATATAAGTAAACTGGAACATTTGAATAACAGGAAATACGAACGTTAAACAAAAACAGGAACTTTTAGCATTTTAGTAAATAAGACGGAATATGTACGTACATGAGGGAAGTTTGTGGGTTGATTTGTGGTCAACCAAGCGAGGAAGATGTGCATAATGTGCGTCATTCCATTGAACTTCCTCTGGGTAAAAGTTCCCACAGCATGAAAATTAACGAGAGTATAAATACGAGTTAGATTGTCGAAGAAAGGGAATGATAAAAATACGAAGGTACAAACATGTATTGCCCGGTATAAGGTTGTAAAAGTGACTTTAAAAAAAACATGAGCAGTCTACATTTCTTTCGGTTTCCAAACGGAAACTCAGGAGCCCAGCAAAAGAGAAGAAAGGCATGGATTGAATTTTGCAAACGCAAAGCATTCGAGCAATTGGCGAACAGTAGAATTTGCTAGCTTCATTTTGCCGAAGACGCGTACAAAGCAGGACATTCGCCACAGTTTCTGGAGCGACTAGAGTGTAAAGAAGCATTTCGAATATGACTGAAGAGCGATGCAGTGCCAACTTTGAATAAAGCGTTGCCCGAAACATCATGAATGTTGTAATGGCGGTCGGTTTAATTAATAGGCTCTTGTGCCTTTTCCTAATTGCTGCTATTTTAAACAATATTTTATTTGACAAAACAGCTTTACATGGATGTAAAGCATTCTTCTCTACGATTGTTCATAGATTGCAAGCCGATGGTTTGATTTCAGCAAATTCTTGCAATATATGTTATCTGCCTGGGAATCGAGGCGTTATGCGAAAGCACGGTATTGAGACAGATAATGATGCAGGACTATTTGCGATGGCTAACTTAACAACGTTACGATTTACTAACGGGACCGGAAAGCATATATTGTGTGAAGAAACGTTAGAGTTCCTGCATTCACTGGGCAAAACTCAGAATATCCATGGCCAAGAATTTGACAACGATTTGAGCAAGAATGAAATTCATATTTGCATAATATTTAACACGGTTGGACGCACACAGAAACAAACATGTTGCTTCTTTCATATTACGTGGAAGCTAAAAACTACCGTGTCTCTGCTATTAAAACTCAAGCGACAGAAGAAGCCTGTCGCCTATTACAGCAACTCATCAGCGACGCGAAGGCTTGTACTGAGTGGAGATATCGAGGAAAACCCGGGCCCAATTCAAGAAAGGAAAACCGTTGAAACACCAGCCGTACAAAGAACTAAAATAAACGCCAAATGCCCAAATTGCACTAAGACCGTTCAGTCAAATCACAAGAGATTCCTGCGTACCGTTTGCTTTGATTTGTACCACGCAAAATGCACTAATCTTAAGGGTAAAGAATTGAGAAACACTCGTGCTGATAAGCCTCAAAACTGGTTATGTACTAAGTGTCAAATATCAACACTTCCGTTTTTCAATTGCCAACAGGAAGAGTTTCTTAATGCTATAACGGATAATAACATAGTAAATAACTCGCTTGAGGATTCAACAGATGAACATCTAGAGGCCCTTACTAGTAAGTCAAAACAACTTAAGCTCATGCATCTGAACACTCAAAGTATGGTTTCCACATTTGATGAACTCTTAGTCACCATCAGAGAGTATCCTTTTGATGTGGTAGCCATGAGTGAAACATGGATGAAGAATAATCCACACCTGCTGCAATATGTATCAATACCAGGTTACACAAGCTTGTTTCGCAATCGTGATGAGATTCGCGGCGGTGGCGTTGGTGTATACATAAAGAATTCAATCAACTTTAAACGTAGGACCGACATTGAGAAAATTGAGCCTGAGCTGGAGCAGATCTGGGTAGAAATCAGTGGCCGAAATAAGAATAGCAAACTACTATTAGGTGTTATGTATCGATCAAATCGGATGCAAGATTTTCAAACTTGGATAGATAAGAGTGAAAACGTAATCAGCCAACTGTGCACAGAGTGGGACGGGCTTCTCGTGATCACCGGTGATTTTAATATAGATCTGCTCAGGCCTGAACAGCCCCAAGTAAAACAATATATTGACATGCTAGAATCGCTCAATCTTCATCAACATGTAGAGCAACCAACAAGGACAACGGCAAACTCTAAAACATTAATTGATCACATAATAAGTAACATACCAAGTCGAGTGACGCATACGGGCGTATTGCCTTGTCCAACGATCAGCGACCACGACGCTCCGTACGTCTGCCTCAATGTGAGAATCACTCGTTTCGAACCCCGCTTCAAATTTATTAGAAATGAACGACAATTTGTTGAAATGCCTTCCTTGAAGATGTCGCAGCGTTACCACTGAATATAGTGTATAGCACCGATGAAGCAGACGATAAACTAGAGATTTTTAACAGTTTGTTCAAATCTAGCATAGACAGACACGCCCCACTGAGAAAGATGAAGATTACACGGCCACCGGCACCCTGGTTAAATGCTGAGGACATCAAACAGTTACAATCTGAAAGGAACAAGCTTCGACATCTCGCTCATGCCACAAAGAAAGATAGCATTTGGCAATTATTCCGTGGAATCAGAAATAAGATCAAAACTAGAATCAAGGAAGCAAAACGATCCTTCTACCGGAAAGCTCTATCGTCGAGAAAACCCAAAGATCTCTGGCGCACAATCCATCGCATCTTACATCCCAGTCAACAAAAAATTTCTGCGGATTCCAATGTATTGAACCACCATTTTAGTACAACCTCTCAACGTCTGTTGGGAACTTCCCCTTCATCATCAGACGACTTACGGAATCTGATTAACACTTTTCCAGATAACACTAACCACTCCTTTACTTTACGTCCAGCAACCTTTCGGGAGGTTTTAAATGAAATAAAAGGTCTACGATCAGATTGCTCAACCGGGACGGATCAAATACCAGTTAAATACATTAAGCTGGCAGCAGACTGGATTGCTTCACCACTGACTCACATCATCAACCATTACATCTCTAATAACTCGTTTCCAAAAATTTGGAAGCTTGCACGAGTCTCCCCAATACCTAAAACTGACCACCCTGTCGAATTGGATGATTTCAGGCCTATTGCAATTTTGCCAGCCTTATCAAAAATCTACGAACACCTTGTTCTCAAACAGTTGCTTTTATACATAGAAGACCATAACATACTCCACAGTGGTATGTCAGGATACCGCAAAGGGCACTCCACCAACTCAGTGTTACTGCGAATCAGAGACGACATCATTCGTGCGATGAAAAAAGGAGAAGTTACGCTCATCGCCTTCGCTGACTTCTCTAAAGCATTTGACACTGTCGAGTATGCCACCGTGTTTAAGAAACTTCACAACGTTGGTTTCTCTCATGATGCAATCTATTGGGTATTGAATTACTTAGCTGGGAGAAAACAGTATGTTCAAATTGATGAGAAACAATCGCAGGTAGTTGATGTACAGTTTGGAGTGCCGCAGGGATCTATTTTGGGGCCTGTGCTGTTTAATTTGTATGTAAACGATTTGGAACCAGATTTGGAATGCTCATGCTATCAGTATGCCGATGATACGACCTTGTATCGACATAGCGTCCCTTCAAAGATACATGAATGCGCTAAGAAACTTCAGGATGCAATGACTGTGCTTGAAAACTGGGCAGTAGAATCAAATCTCGCCCTTAATGAGACAAAAACCAAACAAATGTTAATAACAACCTCGAAAATGTCCAGAGTACACGGACTTGACACCGTTGTTCCTGATATCAGAGTCAAGGCACAAACATTAGAGAAAGTTGAAGAATTCAAACTTTTAGGCACATGGTTTAGTGATAACCTCAAATGGGGATGTCACATAAAACACGTAACTTCATCTTGTTACGCAGTTCTCTCCACCTTAAAGAAATTAAGAAATCTTACACCATTCCATATCAAAAAACAGTTGGCAGAATCTTTGATACTTTCAAAAATATTTTATAATATAGTCGTCTATCACCCACTCCCCGCGACCCAACTAAAGAAACTACAGCGCGTCCAAAACGCAGCCGCAAGCTTTGTAACCAACAAATACTGTCGCATAGGAGATGTGTTGTCATTGGGATGGCTGCCAATACATGAAAGAACCGAATTTGAACTTATGCGTTTCGCGCACAAGTCCATATGGGATCATTCCTGGCCTCAATACCTGAGATTAGAACTGCGTACTAACAATCGATCAAGTAATGCCCCATCGTTAATGGTACCATTGGAAACAGGAACATTTCAGGATTGTTGTGCGAAGATTTTTAATGAACTACCTACACATTTGAGAAATGTTCACGATTACAGACCCTTTTTGAACACACTCAAAACTCTCCTTCTGAATAAGGCTCGAGAACGAATCGAACATTTATAACATTTTAGCTATTTGATTCAATTTTTAGCTTAACTATTTCATATACATTAATCTACTTTTACTATTTTTCCAAATATCATATATACATATATATTTATCTTAGTTTAGGTATTAAGGATGTAGAGCTACTATGTAGATATGCCTTAATAAATTCGTTATTATTATTATTATTATTACTAGTGCAAGTAAAACAAGGACGCATGCGGAGAAAAGACGATGGAAAAAGGTAATAATAATTCTCGTTTCAGAGCGTAATTCATGTCATTTATGTTTCTACAAAATCATAATTATAGTAATCAAGTATAGCTGCAGTATATGCCTTACCAATTGGGCAATATTTGGCAAAAGTCACTGCAGAGCCATAGGTCTCTCAGAGTCATGGGGGGTTGTGGGGGGCGGTTATTTATTTCTTTGCCTTAGGCCTTTACAGGCCCTATTATGATTTATGGGCTGTATAGTAGTTTTCAAGAAACATACATGAGAACATTTATTATACAAATATTTTCTAATATTTATAGGCACTCGATGATTTTTACATGCCAGGGAATCAGCAAAAAAAGGAGAATCTTCAAGCGAAAATGAAGTCGAAAGTCAAAGTGTGTCAAACTTGGAGTCATTAGAGGAATTGCCAAACCAGCCAACTGGCCCAAGCGAGACAGTCGAAACTGAAATACTGCGGTTTTCTAACACGAGAGTAAAATCAACACAGACGTCAACGAAGAAACCAGCGAAAAGAACAGTCAGAACGCAGACACTGATGACATCAACTTCCACGTTTTTTCAAACGCCAGCAGCAACAAGATCTGTCGAGACACAGATGCTAACGACATCAGATTTGACGTGCGCAATGGAAATGGAATATTCAACCACTTCGCCTTCACCCGCTTCTGGTGCGCAACCGGTAGACAGTGTTACTCTTACTATGCCAGACAATGTGACGACAATCAGAGCAGATTCGACCCAAACTACAGTAACAGAGGTTGACATGGAGAGCGTAAAGAGTAGCAGTTCAAGCACGGCCGAAACAGTCACATTACACAGTGACTTGAATGTTCCAATCAAGACGTCATCCACTGAAAGCGACGAAAGCAGCGAAGAGGACATTGATTCGGAAAAACGGACAATTCTGATGCATGGGAAACCGCCCCAAGAGCAGGTGAAATTTATCGTTTTCGAAGAAGCGATTCTGGATATTTTTGGTAAATGTGCCCAGTGTGGTGCAAAATGTATTGTGACAATGGAGAATCAAATTGGCTCATCATGCTCATCATGCACGACTAAAGCTGAGCATTCTTTTGAGTGGTCAACTGCTCCGTCCCTGTTCAAAATGCCTGCATTCCATCTCCTGTTGGCATCTGGCATTCTCGCAACAGGAATGGAATCGTCGAAAGTTCTTCGACTCTTCAATGCGTTAAATATTCCCAACCTGCAGCAACGGGAGTTGTCAAATATATTAAAGAATTATGTAATTCCTGCAGTTTACGAAGTTTGGCAAGAGGAACAATCTGCAAGGTTACGAGAAATACAAGGTCACGAAATTGTGATTGCATCGGATATGCGTGTTGACAGTCCTGGTCACAGTGGCGTATTTGGATCAGGAAGTACGCTGAACATGGGAAGAAATGTTGTGCTGGATACCCAAGTAATCAAGGTATAAAACCTACAGTAATTGTATTAAAATAGAGCATTTTCAAACATAGAAATTCTATTGGAAAATTCATGATCAAATTTTAAAATTTTGTTTCTAATGTCCAACCTTTTATTGTACGCTATCGATGAAGGCACATAAGTTCATTTCAGTTCTAAAAGTTCCACCAGATTACTGATTAATCGGTGGACATGAAAATGTGGAAATCTAAAGTTTAAAACCTGTGAGCTTTATGCATCAGTAATTTGAACCCCCCTTCCCAGTGACCAATCAAGGTTCACACGCAAAGAGAGTGAATTCCCCCGGTGTCCCTGAGGTGTGTGTGTTGGAGGGGGAGGGGGTTTCAAATGACTGATGCATTACTCTCATAGCGGTGGTTTAACCATAATTAGTACTGAATTTATATATTTATCAGTCTACAGAAGTGAAAAACTCCAATGCAATGGAACTTGAATCACTGAAACGACAGCTGAAATACTTGGAGGACAACAGAGTTGAGGTGAATAAGTTGGTCACAGATCGGCATATTCAAGTATCCGCGTATATGGCAAATGAAAAACGAGAGGTGGAACACTCGTATGATGTCTGGCATGTAGCAAAAGGTATAACATAAGTATGGAATGTCTGTATATGATTGGTTTGTGCAAGTAATTCAGCCAATCTTGGCGAATTGCAAAACCAATAATACACATAATACACAACACCACCATACAAATATGCCATAATTAAATTAGATTATATTCAATAACATTTTTCAATTATATAGCTACTTACAATTATAAGTAATTTTTTCTACGATTATTCTCTTTACCGTTTTGAAGGTGAAAAGAAGAAATTGATAAAGGTTGCAAAGAAGAAGAAATTTCAGAAAATTAAGCCATGGATTGGAGTAAGAAAAATAAAAAATGCCTCTGAATTCAGGTCGGCAATCGGCAAATGCTGACCTGATTGCCGACCTATTGTCATGTTAGGATGGAAAATATTACCTGCTGCAGACCTGTTTGCATTTCAACTCAGCATGTTTCTACCGACCTGATATTTTGCTAATTCAGAGACCTACATTATTCACTTATTTTTTAACTTTATACTTGACAGTCAATCATTAATCCCCGAGCCGACGGCGCTGCGAGGGTACTAATTCCCCCCGGCTATTTACACCCGGGGATACGAAAGCATTAGCGGAGTCTAAAGTTCATCAAATATCGCGGGCGTGGGTGACCAACCGTGGGTAGTCATCCTCACTGATCTCAAATATATGGCGGACTGACATGAATAATTGGTCCAATTTAAAATTTGCATTATAACGACTGCATGACGACAGCGAAATAACAAACATTTCTTGATTTGATGATTGATGAATTTTTTACTCGCATTTTTGCAAGCTTTTGTAAATTTCAAAAGTTTTCTCATAAAGAAAGGGCGATCGAATCGGCTAAAAGAAGGGAGCCGACATTAACGAAGGTAAGTTTATTTTAAATATTGATTTTATAATGTATTTAAAACCTGACGGCCTTTGCGTATATGAAACAACTAAACAAGACAGCATATAATTTCAGTGTATCTTTAATATTGATTCCCTTTTTTATTATATTGAATTTTTTAAATAAAAAAGAAAGCAAAGTTATTTGCAAGCAAAAATTTTAAATCATTTTATTGCAAACTCAAAGTTTAATCGATAAAGTCATTTAATTATAAAAGGCTGTTTAGTTTTATAAAGAACACTTTAAAACGTTTTGCGACGCGTTTGTGGTTGAATTTTATCTTAAATTGAAGCCTATATTACGTATACATAAGACATATGTTGTGAAATTGATAATTTTGTAATTAAAAGTGATATTTTTACGAGATTTGTAAGAATATTCTTAAAAAATTATCGTGTTACCATGACAACTGCTCTGGATACTTCATGTTCGAAAAATACAATGGTTTTGTCAGCAAGGCGAGGGTTTCTGCATGCATGTATTTTCTAGTCATATATACTGGATTGCTGACTCGAGTGAAACCGAAGATGAAAAGGAAGAAAAATGGCGCAGCATTCTTAATCACATCGTCGACATTCACGAACATGCTGACCACAGCATCTTCGTTGAATGTCTTCATGGCACACTTGAAAGAGAATGGCTTAGAAAAGGTTGAGTAAAATTCAATGAATAGGGCAAATCAGGCCATGTTTACTTAGCAATTCATCAAATCTAGGTTAATAATGGAGATGTTAAAACACCTTCCCCCCCCTGATTACTAAAGCATGTGACCTATTATCATAACTTTATTATCTACATTACAGGATCAGCTGCTTACAAAAAGTTAGAAGAGATGCTAACAAGACCCAGACTTATTGCTGCAATCCGTAAGTTATCACAACATCACCAGACATCTGGCTTGGAGGCCAAACATGCTTTGGATAACTTGTTTGCTTCAAAAAATACTTATCACTCTTATCATTCACTGAGTGCAAGGTTAGTTTTTTTAAACTTTGGCCCTCAGTTTTAGGTATTTGCAATGCAGGACATGTAGGTCAAATACTCTTTGTTTGACACTGGTGTGACACAATTCAGTTTGTTCACAGGCCACCAATATCATTTGCTCATTATTTTCTTATATTGTTGTATTCAGATTGTACTGCTCAAACTTGCACTACAACGAAAATAGCAACAGGAAGCAAGCGGCAACTGCTGATGGGAAGTTAAAATGGACAGTATCCTATCCAAAGGCATTCAAGGGGGAGAAGGCAGTTGCCAAGCCATTAAAGGAAAAGCCAACCTATAGTAAGAATTTAATTTTCCCCTAGATTTTACACTAGAAGCAAGTAAATTATTGCTAAATATTTATTATATATTTGTAAGTTCCCCCAACATACCATTACCCATATAAAGTTTGTTCGTTCACTGCAACCAGGTATATCAATCATGTTTCGCTCGCTACTCTGGTTTAAATAAATGATTACAAAGCCCAGTCGAATTGTAATCAAGACCCAACGTTTCGACACTCCAGTCTAGTGTCTTCATCACCCCTGATGAAGACACTAGACTGGAGAGTCGAAACGTTGGGTCTTGATTACAATTCGACTGGGCTTTGTAATCATTTATTTAAACCAGAGTAGCGAGCGAAACATGATACCATTACCCATTAATATAAATTTAAAAAGTTTTAAAATATTTTTCAACAGGATATATACAGTTGATACTAAACAAAGTTATTGAGATAAGATGCCTGTACCCATCACTGAAGAAAGCAGCAGTTGATGCAAATGATGTGCTACCTGGTAAACCACAATCTCTTGTTGAAAAGTACTTGGCAGGAAAGGAGCGACCCTCAAAGGAGGATGTTGTGGCCAGCAGAAAATCACGATTCAGTACACCAGCTTTACCTGTAAGTAGAGAAAGGACATCTGATAGTAAGCCTTGTGCTTGTAAGGGAAAATGTGCTACGAGAAAGTGTGATTGCAGGGCCATGGAAGTGCCCTGTAACAACAAATGTAAATGCAAAGTGGCAAAATGTATAAATCGTGAATGAGAAAAATTTGAGCACTTTCTTATTTAAAGACCATGTAAAATCTGTTCTGCACATCAGGTCTGCACATAACAAGTCAAGTCACGCAGATGTAAACAGTGCCCAAATTTTGTGTGTTTCAACCATTTTTTAATTGAAACTGGGACAGGTTCTTCGAAGCATGTTTAGCTTATAAGGTGGATATGCTCAAAATTGAAAGCAACTTTATAGATTTATTAACCCATCACACACCAGCACTCTCCCCTTGACAACTAAAATCGTCTCAGTAAAGAGTAAAATAATAAAGTAGGGCGCACTTATCCACTGTTTAGGCTAAACAGGCTTCAAACAATCATCTCCTGTAGTTTATATTCATTTAAAAGCAAGGTGAATTATTTCACATATTTTACAAATATAGCAGTTGAAAATATAAACAAAGCATTTGTTTACATACGGACTTTACATGCTCTTTATATATGAATATACACATATGATTTTCATTTATATAAATATGTATATAAGCTGGTAGCAGTTGAGTTAAAATATTTATGTACTATAAACATTCGCCTTTTAGGCTCGCTTTATAGGTTGAATATCTATTGTATTTATACTGTAGTTGCATTACTTAAGTAGCCATTTATTAAAAGATTACCGTTTTGATGTTTTGGCATATTTGAAATGTGTGTATAGGCCATCAGGCGACGCAAAGCGTTCTCGTATGCTTGAATAAACACACGCAGGAAATGGTCTGCGCTTCTTTTTCCCCAATATCTGAAAAATCCAGCGTGAACATCGTTGATAGGCCACTAAGCGATACAGCTTGTGAATTTTCTCCAAATCCCCATCGTCAAGAGGCCAATTTTCTTCCAGATAGCGACAAACATCTATCTTTAGCACGCCTTCCGACAGCATGTTATCTCGAAAGTCCGGGTGTAGAGTTAAACATTTTTCGCCTTGAGCTTCTGTTTCGTCAAGAAGCACTCCGTACTCGTCGTACTCTACCGCTTTTTCGTGGCAACAGAAACACTCTATAGCCTTCGTTGACAATGTACAATGACCACATTTACACCAGCTTAAAGTTTCAAGGCGCCAAGCGTTTGCTCTTTCAAATTCGATATCGACTTCGTCCTCAGACGAAGACAAAACACTACCCCCTTCGGAATCGCTTTCATCGCTATAATTACTTGCTTCTGCGCCCTTTTCTGGCTCAAATTGGTAAGGCAACACTTCTCCGACTTGGTTCTCGTGGATATTTTCCATCACAATACTAAAAAAGCTGCAATTTCCTTTTAAAATCAGCAAAGCAGTCAATCACCATTTAAAAATATATCGCTGTTTTGATTCTACCCAGCCAATGACGTCACAACGGGTCATGTGACCCAAAGATAATTTTTTGCGAATTTCATCCAAGATGGCGGACGAAGTATACATTTTCGGTAAGTTTAGCTGCAAATAACTCGTAAACAAAAGAGTTTGGGAAAAAATTAATGTCATACCCATTGCTAGATGCCCCAACCCTTTCATAATAGGCAATAAAAATTTTCGTTGCCAATGTCCTTTAACAGTGAACTTAATTACGTGAAGAAGCGAATAGACGAACTCAGAACAGCCCAAACAACTTTCACTGAGGGTGAAGAAGGAACCGTAAACATCACAGGACCATCAGGGAGCACCACTGTTCCAAGTGTCGACTTTGTGGAGGATCCCAACGATTTACTACCAGATGTGCTAGATGCATTTAATGATTCATTTTACGCTAATTGGGATAATATAGAGGACCGCCTGAGTAAACTAAAAAAGTTCTCAGAAGACCGTCTCACAGCAGAGAAGAAAAGGGACTTCGAAAACCAGGTGGAACGTGTACAAGCTGTCACAAGGGTTGTTCAATTAAAGGAGAAAATAGTACTCAACCCCAGGAACAAAAATGTCAGGGAACTCATCAAGCGATCATCCCCGCCGGGTCAGCTGTTCTCACAAATCGTTCATCTAAAATAAACTTTTTCAATATATTTCGGATGGACATGAAACTTACTACGTCAATATAACTTTCCATTCCGAACAATCGTATGTTTTATATTTTTGAGATGTAAAGGTTTTTGGCGGGAAAATGACGTCACGAAACCTCCAGTTAAAATTTATTTTCAATATCTTAATAGTTTTTAAGCAGAATGTGGAAGATCATGTCATGAAGAATTCAAAACTGAAAACAAATTTTAAATATATTAATCTAATCACGAGATACAGGGAGTTTAGAATCGAATTTTCCACCATTTTGTTACTATTTTTAGATTTTTCACGGTTTTTATGGTGAAATAACTTTGGATTAGGTTTAGATATTTAAAATCCGTTTTCAGTTTTGAACTGTTCATGACATGTTCTTCCAAATTCTGCGACAAAACTATTAAGATATTGTAAGTAAATTTTTAATGGAGGTTTCGTGACGTCATTTTCCCGCCAATACCCGTTAAATCTCATAAATTAAAAACATACGATTGTTCGGAATGGAAAGTTATATTGATGTAGCAAGTTTCATGTCCATCCGAAATTTTTTGAAAAAGTTTATATTAGATGAACGATTTGTGAGAACAGCTGACCCGGCGTGTCTGTTAGAACACTCAACGATGGAACAGAGGTCTTAATGTTTAGAATTGAGCAGGGTATTAACAAAAGTGGTACCCAGATAATGAAACGTGGGAAGACCAGCATTCCAACGTACTCTAAGAATTCCACTGCACTGAGAGAGTACAAGGAACTAGTCAGGAAGATTAAGGAGGAACCATCAACTAGCACCCAAGCTCACACAAACGAAGACGATGATGAAGTGTAATCACAGTTGTAGATCGAGGTGCTGCCTTAAACAACCCCAATGATGAGGACAACACATTCGAAGACATTGAACTCATAGATGTGAGGCTAACCAGAGTCGACATCCCAGGTCTTACCTCTACGGAAAATAGAGAGCTCCGAGGAGTGCTTGACCCCACAGACACAATGGACCTTGAATCAAGAGTGGGCAACGACGTTGCACTTCTATCCTGGGTGCCAGAGGTTCTTCCACGTTCGTAGGGGGGATAATGAGGGATACACGAAGATTCAAGCTGGGAGGCGGCGAACGGGAAGAACCTCTGGAACACTTCTATGGCTTTTACTGTTTTAACTGTCACATGTCAATCAAACGTTAGCCAATAGGACACGTATTTATTTTTGACTGATGATGCTTTGGGCGTGTTCAACCGAACATTTGAGCGATGGAAATTGCGACAGAATGTGTCAATTTCAAAACAAAAAAATTAAAATTAGCGAGTCTTTATAGTAAAATAAATAGAACTTATCTAATGATTCGTATGTATTTTTAAACAATATATTATATATATATTTCAAATGCAAAGCACATACATTTATACACATACATTCGATCTCGGGCGGCCGAGTTAGCAAATACCCGAACATCTTTTGTTTAATATGGTAAAGATTCATCTCGCCAAAGGCAATATCTCGCCTCTTTCTGCCGGGAACTCTTCACTGGCGAGTTTATACTCTTTACTACATGTAAACTGTCCTGAGTCCCCCCCCCCGTTTACCATACTGTATAAGTTTCTATAATATAGCCGGGATCTTGTCGTTGACAAGTATAAACTCGACTTGCCGGGTAATTCGCCTCGATATAAATAGGCTTATAAAGACTCCCATCTTGTCTTGACATGCTTGATTACTAGACAGCCACGCACACGAAATTCCCTCTTGGCAATATAACAAACATATCACGGCGATGCATTAACTGAAACACAGAAACAAGGCATCATCTAGATGTTTATTGAGTTTTGAGTAATGTCCAATACAGGCATCTGATGTCTGATGGTGAAGATGGTGTACGGTGGTGTATGATGGTTGAAGTGTGTCAGATGGTTGTCAGATGGTGAAGATGGTACAGATGGTGTATGATGGTCGAAGTCTGTCAGATGGTTGTCAGATGGTGTATGATGGTGTAGGGTGGTTATACAGGGAAGGGTTGTCAGATGGTGAAGATGGTACAGATGGTGTATGATGCTCGAAGTGTGTCAGATGGTGTATGATGGTGTATGGTGGTTATAGAGGGAAGAGTTGTTAGATGGTGAAGATGGTACAGATGGTGTATGATGGTCGCGGGGTGTTATTCGCAGTAGGATGCTTATATTAGATATTACATGGTGTATGATGGTGTATGATGGTCGAAGTGTGTCAGATGGTTTTCAGATGGTGTATGATGGTGTAGGGTGGTTATACAGGGAAGGGTTGTCAGATGGTGAAGATGGTACAGATGGTGTATGACGGTCGAAGTGTGTCAGACGGTTGTCAGATGGTGCATGATGGTGTAGGGTGGTTATACAGGGAAGGTTGGCAGATGGTGAAGAAGGTACAGATGGTGTATGATGGTCGAAGTGTGTCAGATGGTTGTCAGATGGTGTATGATGGTGTAGGGTGGTTATACAGGGAAGGGTTGTCAGATGGTGAAGATGGTACAGATGGTGTATGATGGTCGAAGTGTGTCAGATGGTTGTCAAATGGTACAGATGGTGTATGATGGTCGAAGTGTGTCAGATGGTTGTCAGATGGTGTATGATGGTGTAGGGTGGTTATACAGGGAAGGGTTGTCAGATGGTGAAGATGGTACAGATGGTGTATGACGGTCGAAGTGCGTCAGATGGTTGTCAGGTGGTGTATGATGGTGTATGATGGTCGAAGTGTGTCAGATGGTGTATGATGGTGTATGGTGGTTATACAGGGAAGAGCTGTCAGATGGTGAAGATGGTACAGATGGTGTATGATGGTCGAAGTGTGTCAGATGGTTGTCAGATGGTGTATGATGGTGTATGATGGTCGAAGTGTGTCAGATGGTTGTCAGATGGTGTATGATGGTGTATGGTGGTTATACAGGGAAGAGCTGTCAGATGGTGAAGATGGTACAGATGGTGTATGATGGTCGCGGGGTGTCATTCGCTGTAGGATGCTTATATTAGATATTACATTGCTATATTTTATACTTACATACACTTTAGCCAACTATGGTATGTGTATAAAATTATGTTATATATAACATTGCGGTTCTCGTGTGGGACGTAATTCAAAGTATTTGGCAAAAAATATATTTAAACACATTTGACAGACATGTTGGACGTAATAAATAAAAATATAATATGAATATATGATATTTCCTGAGTGCAACTGGTGATGATAATAATTTTAAATACTCACGTGAAATCGTTGAATATTTCCAAGCCATGACATTTTTCACCCCATGGTTTTCCTTTTCCAAAGTGTTCCTATGGTGTGAATGGATGATCTGTATGCCAGAGGGTGGACAATAAAGTTGTATCTTTTACATTCCTCAGTCTGAAAGAAAACATTTTATTGATTTTGGAAATTAATTTACTCATGCGAAAGCTCGTTACAAAGTCAGCGACTGTTAAAGTGTGTCGCACTCGATTTCAAAGAGGCGCGTGATGCCAAAACAGGTGGAGTTCTCACGCCATGCACTGATTCTATGCTTGGCTAATCCCCGAGCCGACGGCGGGAAGCACCGTGCGAGGGTACTAATTCCCCCCGGCTATTTACACCTGGGGAAACGAAAGCATTAGCGAAGTCTAAAGTTCATCAATGACCGCGGGCGTGGGTTATCGTGAGCATTGACCGTGAGTAGTTCGGTGGGTAGTCATCTCACTGATATCAAAATATGGCTGTTTGCTAGGAGTAAAGAGGTAACAAATATAAAAAAACGAATGTCGGAAAGCTTGGAAAATCGTTTCACATCACAAATTGTAAAACATTTTACCATTTTTACAGTAAACGTAAACATTTCTACGAATTGACTTAGTATGAGAAATCCTATAAAGTGCACAGGGCAAGTTTGTTTCAATTGTTTAGGGTATGACTTTGTATATTAATGCGGACTTTGTTCTTCATGTTCAAGTCATTCCTGTACATTGTTTCCGAACGTACTTAGTTAAATTAACATTTGTAGAAGTTCATTATAAAAAAGAAAGCAAATTATTTTCATCAGCGTCCTGTACGAATTAAATTCATATCCTTTGAAGGTGCGAGTAATAAAAATGGAAGCTTCAGTTGAAGAGTTTATATTAATATCGGCAAAAAGGAGCTGGTTTCAATTCACATTTAAAAATGTTTTACGTAGAGTTTCGTTTTGAATTTTACGTTAATTAAAATAAAGCCCATAGCAACCAAAATAATACACCTACTTTATATATTTTAGAATTTGATAGTTCTGTGTTTAAAAGTGTTCAAATTTCATCTATTTTTTGCAGCTTTGGACAAAAATTTAAAAAGAACGTGATTCGTGTTGCCATGACTAACATGACGTGCAACGCAAGCCTGCGTTCAGTGTTGGTGTAATTATGAATTCTTCATGTTGAAAACATTAGTTTGGAAAATATAGTCGAGGGGTTGTTGCATGCATGTATTTCTAGTTTTAATATCAATTTATAAAAAGTCATTTAGAAAAGATAGCCCTTCAGCTAATGCTGCTTTTCAAGGAATCGTTTTTTCATTGTTATTTTCAAGGTGTTATTTTAACCCCCAAATCAGTGGTTAAAAAAAGTCTAAAATAATCCTTTTTTGGGGTTAAAAGAACATCATAATTCGGTTTTAAAATTTAACGCCATTTCGGGGGTTAAAATTTAACACCTTTTCGGGGATTAAAAATATTGTCCATTAGATCTGGCTTAGGGAGTGACAACTCCCAATTCCTGGAATAACAACTTTGGTTTGCGAAATTACATTTTAAAGTGGTTTTGTAATTGCATACAGGAATTGAACCTACGATCTTCAACAGTTAGTCAGCTAACCTTGCTTACCTTGATTGAGATTAAAATTTATTGTATATGTTGGGGAAACAGACTATGTCAAGATTGTTTTAATTTGTGAAATTTGTTAATTAAAACGTGACAAAAAAGGACGATGTACGGACTGCTAAACTTTTGGTGTTTGTCCATATCTGTTCTTGTTGCTTGTCCATATCTGTTCGCCTTGATTGTCGCCGTTGCTTGTCCATATCTGTTCGCCTGGTTGCCAGCTTCGGCGGCATTGCCATTGGAATGTGGAAATATCTTGTTGCGGCACTTGAGGAGCTGGCTGGGTTGGTTCTTCAAAGTGTGGTAGTTTGTTCAGGAGGTAAAACGACCATTTGGCTGGCTGTGGGATTTCGTTACGTGAAATTGAAGCTGTCGTCCATGTGCTACTACGCTTCTCAAACGCCAAACTGTGATAATATATTCACTCTCCTTACTTTAATAATCTTCGTTACGCATGATTGCACTTAAAATAGTCCATCGCATGATGGAGAACAACTTTTCACCTCGCTATTTTCTCAAACAACTGGTGGTAAATATCCGGCCGGAATTAGTACCCACGCCACAGGTTTACGCCCGGAACGGCGCTTCGCACCGTTGGCTCTGGGATAAAAATCAGACTTAATTATAAGGAGCCAATCAACATCAGGCAACGAACCTTGTGTGTTGGCTCGTGCACGTACCGTTCCACGCGCATGTTATAATGTCTTTAATAGTTCTAAAATAGGTCTTTGCTTTAAACTAATATACAGTTTATCGAAGAGTCCTGGAAACATTAGCCTGCTCAGCAGTCCCCACCCGGAAATTTGAAGCGAAAAATAGGGGTCTACTAAACTGCGAACATAATAATATTTCGTGACGTCACAACCGATTGCATAGATTACTTATGAAGTCATTGCCAACGAAGACACATAGGGCATTTTGTTTGTAGTTTTATTTCTAACTGTTTCGCCGGCAAGCATCCCAATCCCTTTCAAATAGTATATCCTCTGAAACAGATACC